TTTACGCATAAAATAAAGAAATTTTAAAACGAGAGAAAATAAAATATCTGTGGAATGTATTAAAGTTCTTGAATATAATCCTCAATAAAAATGTCAGATCAACATGAAGCTCATCTAACTCAAATGTGAGATCGATATCATAAAAATAAAGCTAATAAGACCTTTTGAGAGCAAGATAAAAAATACATCAAATATGTATAAAAAAAACAATATTAATGAATTAACAGAAATTTAATTGCAAAAAAGAGAGAAAAAAAACATAATAACACTTTGCACATAATCGTCAACAAAAGCATCAGGAGCGGTCAGAAAAAACTATTAATAAATGTGAAACATGTTTAGCTCAAATTCGAGATTATTATTATAAAATCAAAACATCAAAACTATTAAAGAATCCAATATTTCGGAAGATGCTAATGAATCTTTTTCACTGCATCAATTATAGAACAACTTTCTGAGTTAGAAGGCTTTTAAAGAATTTTTGAAATAAAATGAAAAAATCAAATAACCAGCTTTGCTATACTTAAGAGAAATTGCTAGAAATATACAGTATTTCACAAGTGTTTTCTATCACAGATAAATGCAGCATACTTGCGTATGAGTCGGAAAGTTATTAAATGAAGCATAGCAAAAAAATTTGCTGTAGGCCTAAAAAAGACAAGACATTGAAAGAATATATTAAAACAATTTCTCTTATATAATAATAATTAGGTAATAATTGTTTGATATTAATCAGTTAAGATTAAATTATTAATTGAATTTAATGTTGAAAATTGAAAATTATATTAAAAAATAATTTTTATAATTACGTTAAAATACATGCACAACAGTTGCCATTTTCTAATTTACAATATAAATTTTAAAATTTTGCGGATCAATTATACCTCGTTTGAAGAGGACATAACTATTTACTTATTACTTTAATAAGAACATGACTTTAAAAATATTTGAATTAAGTGACTTAAATTACAAAAAAACTTTGTAAATAGTTTTTTTTCAATCATATATTTAAAAAAACTTATTTAATTGTAAAGAACATTTAAGTTATTTTTTGATCTTTGTTTAAGAACCTATTTTCAGCTCAGACATAATCTTCTAAATTAATAAACCATCATAATTTCCTTCTAAAATAGCAATATTTATAATCATGTTCACCCAGGGATGCTTTCAATCCTAATAAAAATTTATATTAAAAATTAATCAAATTCAAATAAAAAAACCTTTAATTTCTATATCAAAATAAGATAATAATAGATTAGTATTTAACAAGAGTATTTATTAAAACTACATCTAAAATTATTTTAATCAATAAATTTCTTTTGATACAAATTCAATAAAGGTAAAATAGAATAATTTATTATGAAAATTTAATTAAAAAAAATGTAAAACTTTTTGTAGCAAAAAAATTTACAATGTAAGTATAGATTCTTGAATTAATAAACATCATTAAATAAAGAAATACGAATTAGATAAATAAATTACCAGTTGAATTTATTTTGGATTTTGGAATTGATTGAGAGTTTGAAGATTGTAATAGATGTAACATTATATGTTAAACAATAGAATATAGATATTTAGTTAAAACAAAAAGAAATCCAGTAACTTTGCATGAAAGTAACTTTAAAACTAAATTTTATAATAAATTTAATTATCAATTAGACTTATTTACATCATTTATAACACTTCAAAACCTTTCATCGTTCTTTAACCCAATAAAAGATTTCTCATGTTAATTTTCCATTGAAATAACACATAGCATTTACTATGTGAAATACATTGTTGAATTGTAGGCATAAAAATATACCTGTGTAATACACATCTTGCTGAGATTATATTTCCTATTGAATCTTTCGAAATTTCTCGGCGCGTTGTCGTCATCAGCGAGTCTATTGCTAACTTCAGCTTCTCTTCGCGTACGATAATCCGAGCGCCCAGATTTAGGCACTAAATAAGGTAAGGCTTTGATAACTCTGAAGCAGGTTACGATTTGGCCGATCTCTTACACTTGATAGTCTCTTTTTGATCATCTTTCTAGGTGCGTCTCAAGATTACAAGAATCACATTTCTACACGGTGCAAAGGTAACGAAAGTGTCTTCCTTAAAGTTGTTTACTTTACTAATCCTGGTTTTAAGTTATGAGACGTAAGTGTTATTGTACGAAGTAGATAGCATTTATTTGATAAAGCGATAGGAATACAGAAGAGCGTTCTAAGAACTCTAAACTCTAACTAACTAGCCGTTACAAATTATGTAAAATTATATTATTTTTGTGCCTTGTTGATGAGTCCACCCCTCTACACTATGATTAATTAATTGCATCATTCTGCCATCATTTCCATTGTTACGCGATGCATCTTAATTGTCGTGTTCCCGCAATAGCAGAAAACAGTGTTCTATTCGTTCTCTTTATCTCGAAGCCATTTATTCAGATGTTGTTTAATTTCCCTCAACTCGGTCGATTATTTGTATTATTACTCTTAACAATTTCAATTAACTTTTCAAAGGTCAATGGTGTGGCGTATAGTTTGTAATTTCGGGTCTTAGTCCGTTTATAATATTTTGTACAGGAAAGTAATCATTATTTCTATTATAAAATGATTTATAACCTAATGTAAATTCCTTAATCAACATTCCAAAGCTATATACATCGGATGATTGAGTGAATCGGCATTCTTTAAAACTTCAGGAGCTAAATAAGGTATTACCCCGCATATATTTTTATTAGAAGTCAAAACTCATTTTTACATAAGTTCGAATCTGCTATCTAATATAACCTGAAACACCGTTAACTCCTAATAACTTGTTTCTGTATTAATATCTATCCACTATCACGCATTTCTTCAAACCCATATTAATAAAAAATGTTAATTATAATTCAACAATGATTAGCTCGCATGAATTTATACGTAGATAACTTAATTTCTTGATCTTTTCTTTCCATGTGATTTTTTCAACTATTTTGACATGTATTAATGCTTACCTCTATAAATCAAGTTATCTTTGATTAATTTTCGCTTCTGAGTACGATGATTGTACAATGTGATTGGTTAAGCTGATTGATAATATTAAGTCCAATTTTTACGCCCAATACGTACATTATTTCGGATCACTATGCGAGTACCAACTAATTTTTGATTACACTGACCAGTTTTTTTAAAAAAATCTCGATATCTAATGTAGCGAAAAAATACATGATGTACAGTATGTGCCATGATTTATTGAAAATTTTAAAATTTAAAATTAATTTAATTTCACTAATATTTTTATCCAAATAAATTAATTATAGTATAAAAATAAGAATATATATAATAATAATATTATATTAACAAAAATTATTTGATGTTTTCATTAAAGGAAAAAAAAAAAGTCAATGTTTTAATTAAATAAATAGAAATAGAATATTGATATCGAAAAATTTTATTTCTAATTAGATATTCAAGAATATTCATTTAATTATTTAATTAAAGTTCATTCGCAATTAAATTTCATATCAGAATTATTTTTTAATTACAGATTAAAAAATAATGAGAAAAGCATATAAATTGTTATTTTATGGTTACAATCAAAATAATCATAAATTAATTATATCGATAATTAAATCAAGTTATGACCATTTAAATAAAATTTTATTGTAATTTTTAATCAATTTACAATTTAATGAAATTCTTATATGTATATTATACTTAATTTTACAACTTGTTTTTAAAAATAACATTTCAATTATATATTATCAAATTAAAATTCATAAAAAATATTCGTAAAATAAAATAATAAAATAATTGTTAAGTTTATTGATTATGTTATATGAATTTGAGTTGATTGAAAATTTATTTATTTATTAATTTGATTCTAAGCTTCTTTATATATGTTTCTTTAATATAATAATATCGTGATAAAAATAATATAATTGCGAAATTTTGTAAAAAATTATATTATCGTTTTTATCTTTATCTTTATTTTATATTATTTAATTAAAATATTAATAAACAAGAACAAATTTATAATGTACTTTATTAATTATTTATTTTATATTTTACAATCTACAGAATTTTATTAAATTTAAGAAACGTCAAGCTTTTAATTATTTTATATAATTGTGAATTTAATTTATCTTTAAAAATTTTATTAAGTAAAATCAATTTTAACATTTCTTAAAATAGTTTGTGTTTAATATCGTATGTTTATATTTTTGAATGGTTTTTTATTATAAATAAAATCTTTATTTGCCAAGGTTTTAATTTTGTAAATGACGATAATAATAAATAAATAAATATAATTTTAAAACATATGTTTTCTTATGTTTTATTCGTTTTAATTAAAATAATTTTTTTTTCTAATATAAAAACTTGACGTTAAAAGAAAAAAATTTATTAAATTCCGATAAAAAAAATAATAAATCGTGTTTTTAATTTTTTAATGTCAAAAAAATTTTTTGTTATCATATTAGAGCGTTGTTTTTTTTTTAAAAAAAAATTGACTTTTTTAAATCTATGTTCTGAATTTTCGAATAAATCTCTGACTTTTATATACATTACTTTTTCATATACTGTATTTTATAGGGCTATTATGTTATAAATTATTGATACGCATAATTTCATGTGATAATAAGTATTTAAGCACTCAATCATGTGCCAATAAGAACCAATCAAAAAGTGCAAAATGGGATTTAATGTATGCAAAGTCGGATTTTAATTTTACCATTTTAAGTGTTATTATTGCTGTATCAGAAATAAATTTTTTTTTTTCGTGGAATTTTTTATTTATCATTTATGAGGAAACTGAGGTCATGCGATTTACGAAAATATGATTGCAGTATAGTAATTGATTATCAAAAGTCGACACACAAGATGTACGGTGAAATTCTAAAAATTTTTTTCTACTCGTGATTTTCTAATTAGAAATACGTAATTATAATATATTATACTTGCAATCTATATACAAACAGCTAAGGTCAAAATAATTCGTTATTATAAATAACCTTGCACAATATGATTACGGTTATGGACAAAAGACCACCAGAAGAGGTTTATCTGGAAGAGCTGTGTTGCTTATATCGTGCAGAAAGATTCAGAGGAAACAATATTTTGGCCATTTTCGAAAAAATGGATCAAAGGTTTGAAAAAAAGCAAATAAATCCGCAAGATATGATTGAATGGTGTCTTAATAATAACATTAATTCCGAGGCTCAGACTATTGTTGCACATTGCCTTTATTATGGAAGGTGGGTTAAAAAGGATGAAAAAAAGTCGTTTGAATTTGATTTAAAATCAGCCGAGGGCGGTTATTCCGAGGCATATAGAAACATTGGATATCATTATGAACAGGGCATTGTAACAGAACAGGATAATAACAAAGCATTTGAGTGTTATCAAAAGTCTGCCAATAGCAGATATCCTGGCGCATATCATAATCTTGGACGTTGTTATGAATACGGAATCGGAACTTTAAAAGAAGAAAAGAAAGCATTCCAATGGTATCTAAAATCTGCAGAAAGTGGAAACGAGGCTGGGCAACGTAGTGTAGGATATTGCTATAGATATGGAATTGGGACAGGAAAAGATGAAGAAAAAGCGTTTCTGTTCTATCTGAAGGCTGCAAAAGGTGGAAATGTTTCTGCGAAATGTGATCTTGGAGATTGTTTTCTATATGGAATTGGGATTGATAAAGATCACAGAAAAGCATTCCAATGGTATTTTGAATCAATCGACAGTAGAAGAAGTTACAATCTGGGATGTTGCTATTATAGTGGAATTGGCACAACAAGGAATGAAAAAAAGGCTTTCATTCTATTCACTGAATCGGCTATCAGTGGCGATGATAATGGACAATGTAACCTTGGATATTGTTATCGAAATGGAATCGGAACTGTGAAAGACGAACATTTGGCATTCTATTGGTACATGAAATCAGCTAATAATGGAAATAGTTGTGGTCAAAATAATCTTGGGTATTGTTATCAAAACGGTATTGGGATCCTCAAAAATGATGAAGAGGCATTTTCGTGGTATTTAAAATCAGCGAAAGGTGGGAATACTAATGGTCAATGTAATCTTGGATATTGCTATAGAAATGGAATAGGGGTTTCAAAAAACGATGAAAACTCATTTTTTTGGTATTTAAATTCAGCTTACGGCGAAAACAGTAACGGACAATGCAATGTAGGATTTTGCTATAAACACGGAATCGGTACTGTAAAAGATAAGAAGAAAGCGTTTTTGTGGTATCTAAAATCTGCAGAAAAAGGAAATAATTGGGGACAGTATCAAAGTGGGGTCTGTTATCAGTATGGGATTGGAGTGACAAGGGATAATGGAAGGGCATTTTATTGGTATTTAAAATCAGCAAAAAATGGGAATCTGAGTGCGTCATATAAAGTCGGATACTGTTATCAATACGGAATAGGAACAGAAAAAGATTACGAAAAGGCACTTCAATACAATATAAATATCTCTATTGAAAAGAAGCAGAAAACAAAAGGATGAGGTATGTTACAAGAGGGGATATATTTCAATGGTTCATGAAGCGATATTTAGACTGAATATTTGGAATATTAGTATTGTTATACAAAGAAGAATGAGAGAATTCCAGATGCTTAGAGAAGTAGGATATTGGCGGAATTTATAATATAGTTGCATTGTTTTTATTTCCAACACAAAGTCAATTTTATGCTTGAACTTCATGTAATGGTTTGTATTGCGGCATAATTGAATATTTTATGGGTTTTGAAAAGAAATACAGTGATAGATCCAAATGACGTAAAACGTCATTTACATTGTGCTTTTCATCTAAATCTACGAATCAAAGTATAGTCTTTCACCTTTTGAATATAATATAAATTACATTAAATTGCCTGATAATAGCGCATAACTAAGCTGCGAGGCATCTTTCTCGAGATTTTGCTTCATGATGTAAAAAAAATTTATTATTATCTAATTTCCTTTTTCTTTCATCGCTAAAATTAGGGCGAAAATATGTTTTAAATGCCTATTGTGTATGTCAACCATGATCTATACTGTGTGAAATCACGGCGAACATCAATCACATTATGGAAAAAAATAATGCTATTCTCAGTCAGGTCCTTTATTATACCACCTTAATCTGTATTAAATTGTTAAATGATCACATATTCCTAACGATTACTACATGTTCTCCGTATATTCACTTTCTCACTGTTAAACTTTCCATGGCTCATTGTTTTTCCTTAGTATACTTACCATTACATACTGGCTCCATATTTAATGCTTATTAATTGTTATAATTTTCATTCTTATTATTTTATACTTACTGACATCATTCATGATGTGCCACGGAATTTCATAAACGTTAGGAAAAAAATCATTGCGCAAGATTTATTAGTTAGTGAGTAGGTTTCCTAGCGTCCTGTTTCGCTTATACAATGTAATTTCTTTCTTTCACCGTTCTCTTCAATTTCACTTACTTTGTTTGATCTTGTAAAGTTGAGAAGCTCGTTGACAAAAAGATCATCTTTTTAATTCATTGTTTCAAAAAAAACTTCCTTTATTCTTCATCTTTCTTAATATATTTCCTTGAGAGGGAGAGTGCCTACGAGAAAGTTCCAGACAGAACTCAAGCAGCGAGAAAAACAAACACCAATGATTTTCATTAAAAAAATTCACGTGTATGATCTTCGTGAAATCTATCGTCATGAATTGGCTCAGAAGAGTACAGTATGTGATGGAAATATGAACGATTTAGACGTAATAAACATCACTGCGTTGTTATTTAAGCACGTGCTCCTGAAAGATGTTTTGCAAAACTACGTGATACTGTAAATATTACATGTCATGCAAATTTTGTGTAATGTATTACGTGTACGTATAATTAAATGTTACTTTGATCAATCAATCAGTCATCAATTTTATAACTACAGTAAAACATTTATTCTTTGTAAATTTTTCTATCATTTCTTTAGCATCAAAATGTCTGATATTAATCCTAGACCTCAGCAGGAGGTTTTTGTCGAAGAACTATGTAATATTTATCAGAAAGAAAGAAAGAGCGGAAAGCATATTACTGCTATTCTTGACACAATAGACCAATTTTTTAAAATGAAGCAACAAGATCCGCTGGATATAATAAACTGGTGCCTTAATAATGAAATTAATGCCGAGGCTCAAACCATCATTGCACATTTTTATTATTATGGAAAGTGGGTTAAAAAGGATGAAAAAAAATCATTTGAATTTGATTTAAAATCGGCTGAAGGAGGGTATACTGAGGCATACAATAATCTCGGGCATCATTATGGAACGGGAACTATAATTACAAAAGACGTTAATAAAGCATTTGAATATTATCAAAAATCAGCTAAGGGAGAGTATGCGGGCGCATATAATAATCTCGGGCATTGCTATGAGAATGGAATCGGAACCACGAAGGATGAGAATAAGGCATTTCAATTATATCTAAAATCAGCGGTAGCTGGAAATTGCACTGGTCAATATAACCTTGGGTATTGCTATCAGAATGGAATTGGAACTAAAAAAGATGATGAAAAGGCATTTCAGTTTTATCATAAAGCTGCTGAATGTGGAAATATACATGCACAATGTTTTCTCGGAGATAGTTACCTACTTGGAATTGGAACTACGAGAAATTATGAAAAAGCGTTTCAATGTTACTTGAAATCTGCAAACGGCGGTTACAATAATGCACAATACCATTTGGGATGCTGCTATCATAACGGAAACGGTACCGAAAGAGATGAAAGCAAAGCATTTCAGCAATACTTAAAGTCTGCCGAGGGGGGTGATGCTGATGCCCAATGTAATCTTGGATATTGCTATGGGCATGGAATTGGAGTTACAATAGATAAAAAAAAATCATTATATTGGTACCGTCAATCCGCCAAAAATGGAAATGATTCAGGTCAAAATAATCTAGGATATTATTTACAAAACGGAATTGAGACGATGAAGAATAATAATGAAGCATTTTACTGGTATTCAAGGTCTGCCGAAGCCGGAAATACCAATGGTCTGTGTAATATTGGGTATTGTTATAAAAACGGAATAGGGACTGAAGTAGATGAAAAGAAGGCATTTCAATATTATTTAATGTCTGCTAGCGGTGGAAATAATTCGGGACAATTTAATCTTGGATATTGTTATGAAAACGGAATTGGTACTGCAAAAGATGAAAGAAAAGCATTTATGTGGTACTTAAAGTCTGCAGAGAGCGGAAATAAATGTGGAAAATTTAAATCTGGATATTTTTATCAGCATGGTATTGGCATCGTCAAAGATGATATGAAAGCATTAAGGTGGCTTAAAGATTACCTCGATAAGTGACAATCGCGATATTCATGTGAATAATAGGTCTAGGATAGCAGGCTTGTCAGCAAACGACAACATAGATTCTTATTATAAATCTACTTGTTTACATCATCATAATTGCATTATAAGTTTAAACCACCAGGAAAAGTCAATAACTAATACGTAGATGCTTCTATATCTGACAATAAAATTAGATGTGAATAGTAAACATGTCGGGTTGTTATTGAAATATTTATGCATATTTAATTTTTATTTTATTTTCTCATTTAAAGTACTTTATTTAGTTAAAATTGTTTGTTTTTTATATACTATGCATAAAGTACCTTTTGCAAATATATAGCACGTAAAAAAAAAAGGGATGATGCAAATACATAATCGTAATAAATAAATAATGAATTATAGTTAATTACATATTAAACAATAATATAAATAATATGTTATGTTGTTAAATATAAGAAATCATAATATAAACAAAAAATTATGACATTAAATATAAGCATAATATAAATAAAAAAATTATGGCATTAAATATAAAAAGTAACATGCCCTTTATAATCTACATTTTTGACTTGGTAAATTGATATTTTTGCTTTGTCTTCATTTTTTATGGTTCCAATTACATCCTGGTAACAGGCTCCAAAACTATATTATTCACTTTTATTATTACTTTCAGCAGACTTCAGGTACCATAAATGCTTTCTCGTAACGTGATTAGTTCCGATTCATCTTTCATAACAATATCCAAGATTAAATTATCCACCAGTCCCAATAAAATAACAGCATCATAGTTTATTTTATCCCAGACGACTTCCACCTTCGATAGATTTCAGGTACCGATGAAATTTTTTTTCATAGTCTCCAATTCCATCACTATAAAAATACCCAAGGTACAGTACATATGATCGCCACCTTTAGCAGAATTCAAAATGATTTATGTTGTCTCGAGTGATCCCGTTTCCACTTTCCAGAGTCATTTCACTTGGGAGGTTTCCTGTTGGCGGGCTAATCAAATATTGTTCCAAAGTTGTTTGATTGCACTTAAACAGCATAGTAATTTAATAATAATTCCGAATCAAAAAGTTTATTATTATTATTATTATTTTAGACAATAAAGTTGATAATATATAGCCCATTTTAACGTGTTGAGCTTAAATTCTTTAACAAAATCGTTATTTAACAATGAGACCGATTTACTAACACTTTTAAAATCTTTATTATTTTCTTGAATTTGAAGTGACTATAAAACTTTTGATGTACCAGCTTCAACCGTTACACTGTATCTAATGAGTTGAGTGATTCATTAATACTAGATTCTCGTTCGAACATGCTAATAAAATTTAATATTTTATCTAATAATGTATTTGAATATGATGTTTAATTAATGTAGATAGATGGTTACATATAAACTAACCTTCAAGATATCAAAATATCTATGAATCCTTGAGCGTCCCATCTATATTCGCTTCTCCAAGACCATAAGCATTGACGTCATTTTTACTTATCAGAATTAAAGGGGGAAATTTGCTTGTGGGCTCCCAGAGTAGAATTTACAAGCAGTAATATTTGATTCTTGCTTTTTTTTAGGACAAGAACCCTTTTTTTGTCACTATTTGATTCGTTGCAAGTGGCACATTAGCGGTCTTATTTTTCGACACATCTCTTAATTTTTTAAATAGCCTGAAAATCGCAAGCTAAATGTTACAGCTCGAATAAAATATTTTCTTGATGCTAAAAAAAAATTAATTAAGTATAATATTAATAATTAATATGTATAATATATATACTGAGGGACAAAAATAATTGAGAAAAATCAAAACTCATATTTTATTAATAATTTGATAAATAATCAAATAATTAAAAGGAAAATAAACTTGAGTATATTTGGAGATATAAAGAATAGAAATATATAAAAAAGTTATTTAATATATTAAAATAATATAATTAAATTATGATTGTTTTTCAATTACAAAAAAAACAATAATATCAATTATATACTGTAAGTTAATTAAATATAGATTAATAAAACTTTAAAATAATTTTTTTATAATATTTATAAAAAAGATATTGTATTTATTAATAAATATATAAAAATATTAATTAAAATTAAAAAATATATTTATTAAAAATGTATAAAATAATATATAAAATATATAAAATTTCAATTAATTATTAAAAAAATTATATGATAATTAATTATCTTTTGAATAAAATATATTTATTATTAAATATTATTTGTTAAATTAATTTTAATAATTGATATTATTGTTTTTTTGTAAATAATAAAAAATTTTAAATTTTAAATTGTAATCTCTTTCTAATTATAATTATATTATTTTAAAATATTTAAAAACATTTTTATATATTTCTATTATTTATATTTCTAAATATATACATGTCTATTTTTATTTTAATATTTAAATATTTATTAAATTATTAATAAAAATATATATTTTATTTTTTCATAATTATTTTGTTCTATAGTATATATATAAACATATATATATAAAGTAGAAAATTTTTTATATTAAATAAATTTTTATAAATTTTATTCTATATTTTATAAAATTTTAAGTCTGTTTTATAATATAATTAAATTAAAACTTTAAAACTTTCCAAAATAATATTATTAATATTTATTTTAATAAGATTTAAATAATTAAAAAAATTTTTTTATTTAAAAATTTTATTTTTGCTAAAATAAAAAAATATTAAAAACAATAAATA